CAGCTAGGAATATTTATTCCCTGATAATTAGTTGAAGTGCATGCCGAAAAGCTTGAAATTTTGCTTGGATTGGTGATATTGCATGTATTTTCTTGTGGTATGTCCTCTATTGGCCCTTATAGTCGCGGATGACTCCGATGATTCCTCCTTCAAGATAGTTTCTTCTAAAGGCACCATCAATATTGATCTTATACCAACCCTAGGGGGGGCTGCCACATAACATAAATGCTTAATTTTATGTTGTTAGTATTGACCCTGGACGTTAGAAGTTTTTATTCCACAGTTGGGTCGATCACTTTTTTTCTGTTAATATGGTTGTTGGTATTGTTTTGATTGTTATGGTTTCTGTTATTCCAAATGGCCCATAGGGCAAAAAGAAGTATATCATCCCAAGTTACGTAGTTATTGATTATAGTAGGGCGAACATTTCTTAATAATTCAATCCAATTATTAGTATGCACCTGGTTGGTAATAGTCACTCACATTGATTGCCAAAAGGATTGAGCAATGGTACATTCCCGGAAGATATGGCATATAGATTCAGTGGTGCCTTTGCATATTGGGCAATTTGGGTTTATATTAACACCAATATTGGCGAGGTAACCTCTTGTAGGAAGTCTTTTGTGACAGCATTTCCATATAAATAGTTTGATCCTGTTAGGATATTGGAGGTCCCAAATCCAATTGAAACAGAGACTTGGAGGTGTTTGCTCGTCAATTAGCTTGTAGCAAGAGGTTGTTGAGAATGTATCACTTGGGTTTAGACTCCAAATGAGATTGTTAGGTGCATTGATGTGGCATTTGGGGTTTAAAGCATTAATACTATTTATAATAATTTTAGGGAGATCAAAGGAGATTTTCCTTAAATTCCAACCATTTTTATCCCAAATATCTTTAATAGTTAAGCTATGTTCATTATGAGTTAATGGGCCTGAAATATTATTGTGAAGACTATATTACGAATCCAATTTGTGTCCCGGACATTCATATGTGAATGTCTGTTTATTGGCCACCTAATACCCTTATTACAAACAACCCATCCCTTGAGGAGACTTTTCCATATATTTGAACAGCCATTTGTTCTCTTACTCTTTTCGTAAATACTAATAAGAACTTGAGCCTAAAGGGAGGATGGATTATTAAGAAGCCTCCATGCTAGGCTGGTTAGAAGGGCTAGGTTTTTTTATTTTGCTTTCATAATACCTAGTCCTCCATGGGTTTTTGTATTGGTAACCATGTTCCATCCAATTAGATGCATTTTTTTCTTTTCCCTTGTAGTCCCCCATAGGAAGTCTCTTTGAATCTTGTCTATTTCTTTGAGGGTTTTAATAGAAAGAAGACTTATTTGCATTAGGTGGTTTGGTATTGTATTTAGGGTAGAGGCTATTAATGTGCACTTGCCTGCCATACTTAACCATCTAGCATTCCAATTGTTTAATTTAGCTCGCATTTTATCAAGTAAGGGTTGGTAATACTTGTGCCTAGGGTAGTGTTTTAGCATTAGGAAACCTAGATATGTACCAAAGGTCTTACTAATGGTTATCCCAAAAGTCTTAGTAGCCAGATCTCTGTTATGTTGTTTACAGCTCTTTGACATGATCAATTTGGATTTTTCTTTATTGATATTTAATCCAGAAATGTAACAAAAACTCTCCATACTTCTGCAAATAGTAGTAATAGTTTTTGTGTTGGCTTGACCTATAAGGGATAGGTCGTCAGCAAAAAAATAAATGAGATAAGGGGGGGACCTAGGATTAAGTTTAATAGGCACCCAATTCCTAGTATCTACTTTGTTGTTAATATTTTTGGAAAGCATATCCATGCATAATATGAATATGTAAGGAGACATGGGGTCCCCTTATCTAAATTTTTGGAAAAAGAATGGATGTAACCCATCGGGGCCTGGGGCCTTGTAAGGTTTAAATGAGAACACAGCTTTTCTTATATCCTGATTTCTTAAGGGTTTGTCTAGGCTTGAGAGGTCAATTTGTGAGAAGTTAGCAATGTCTTTTTTAATAGATCGCTAGTTAGTCCTATCGTGGGAGGTTGTAAAAATACTTGAGAAGTACTCTGTAACATGGTTAATTAGGGAGGTTTGGTCATCAATCCAATTCCCTGAGTTGTCTTTGAAAAGGACAGTATTATTTCTTTTCCTTCTATTAGTGGCTTTTATATGGAAGAATTTAGTATTTGCATCTCCTTCATTTAACCAATTAACCCTAGAGCGTAACTTCCAATAATCTTCTTCTATTTTAAGAATTGTGTTATAGTCTTCAATAAGAGATGTTTCTAAATCTTAAAGGAAGTATCTTGTTGATTAACTATGAGATTTTTGAAACCAATTAATTCTACTCAGAATAAATATTGCCATAGGTATTTTTTCCATTCTAAAATATTTATTTGAAAGGACTGAGTTCCTTGTACTAGGTCTTTATTTTCCCAGCTATGTGATACAATCCTAGAGAAATCCGGATGGGAGCACCAATAGGTTTCTATTCTAAAAGTTCTGTCATGAATGGATTAGAACAGGGTTATGGTCAGAATGGATTTTAGGGAGGTGTGTTATGGTCACATTAACATAGGCTTTTAATCAATCTTCATTAGAGTAGACCCTGTCTAATCTTTCCATGATTAAACCCTTTTTTTTCTACTATGGTTGGACCATGTGTATTTACACCCCTTAACCCTAGGTCTACTAGATTATAGTAGTTAAGGCAGTCTATTAGGGACTTTGCTCTTTTCTGATTAATGCTTCTACCCCCATATTTTTCCCCGGAGTTCACTACTTCAATGAAATCACCTCCAACTAACCAAGGTCCTCTGTAGTGATCATAGATATTTTTTAAGTTATCCCATAACATATTGCGAGTATTTATATCATTACTAGCATAAATAGCAGTAAATAACCAGGAGAGATTTTTGGGTTTTACCTCGATCATTGCATGAATTGCCTGCCCATTCCTAGTGAAATTGTTGATAGTCACCACCTCATGATTCCACAGAATTACCAACCCTCCAGCTTGCCCAACAGAAGGAACCTCTATCAACTCAGTAAAGTGAGATTCCTCTAGGATAGATATATGACTATCCATTTTTGTTTCCAACAGAGCAACTAAGCAAGGCCTGTGAGTGTCCATAAGTTCCTAGAGTGCCTCCTAAAGTTGGCATTATTATCTCCTCTAACATTCCAAATTATAATGTTATTTGGTTGATTCATGGAATGATTATTGAGTGGGTTGTTGTTGTGAATCCTCCTGAGGGAGGGGACTAGTATCACTACATTCTTTCCCACAGTTGGGTTCTGTGGAGGTCGTATGTCCAATGAGCACTTGTAAAGTGTCACTGGGCAGCTGAAGATAGACTTCCTGTCTAGCATCTCCTAGAAGATGAGTATTTTTACCTCGCTTAGGCTTGAAAATGCCACTGTCGGCTCCCAAAAGTGTGGCAAGTTGTCCTCCTCTTCTTCCTCCTGGAGCCCTTCCTGGTTTTGCATGTTTGGAACTGGAGCTTGCTCTTCCATTGGATCTGGTTGTGGATCGTGTTGTTGGTTTTGCATATGCTGAGTAGTCCACTGTGTGAATATTGGATTCAAGAACATTAGATCCTCCGGATCAAAGAATGGAAGATTTAGAGGTGGATTTTGTGAGATATGTTGGTTGGAGTTGCTTGGGATGTTCCATATTTGTTGCATGTTGTTCACTATGTTTTGGTTCATTAAGGAAGCTAGTGGTTGGAGAATGTTGCTCATCCATCTTTGGTTGATGTAGTTGTTCATGGCCAAGCTCATCCCTTCTGAGATCAGTTGAGCTAGGAAGTGTGTGTTTTGAATTATCAGTATGGACTCCTGCCCATTGAACTCCATGTTGAAGGACACTGCATGGCCTTGAAGTCCCAATTCCACCAACGATTGTGGTACAAGATTTGGTGGACTTGCAGGTTGAGCATAGATCACGGGATTTGAGGAAAAGAGGGGAGGGAGATTGGGGAGATTATTCATGGTTTGATTTCGAGAAAGGTGGATTAACTGAATGAGTCGGAACCTTCTCCTTAGTGTTAGTGGAGGTCTTGGCATTTTGGTGTGTCTGTTGTTTTATATGAGGAGTGTTGTGTAGGTGATTGGGGGGGATTGCTAATGATTGTATCTAGTTGTATAGGATGGGAAGGAGGTTGCTTGAGGTTTATATCCAAATCTTTCATGGATATGTCCTTCGTCACTTGGCTGCTTTCGTCTACCATGTGTTGGAGTGAGGATTTGTTATTAGGGATGGACGTTGCATGGTGATTTTTAGTGTAGTCATTATTAGTTTTGTAGTTGTTATTAGTAGGGTAATTGATTTTCTCTTGGCATTTCTGATTGGTTTGTGTGTGATTTATTTCCAAGTCTATTGTATCAAGCAAATGATTTTGGCTATTATCACTGTTGGGATATTGTGCCACGTTTGGGACACTTGTAATGCAAAGCTTTCATTTGTCATGCAGATTTTTTGAGTTTTGATTAACTTTTGTCTCCTTTTTTTCCAAAACCTCACGCTACTTAGGTGAATTAGCATAACTACTTTCTCCTTCATCATATGTTTTAGCATTTTGAATTGTGGCCACTTTGGTTGGGTCATCACTATGATCAACTAGTAATTTGCTTACTGCTGCATTAGGGTTGGCGAGAAGTTGTTTGTTAATATAATCTAAAGGTTGTGTGTTAAGATACTTACCTTACAAATCATCATACATTCAAACATTTATACCTGGGGCTATAGGTGCACTAGCCTTATCTTTGAACTGATTGGCTGCCTTAGATTTGCCTTTTATAGGGAAGGAGACTGTCATCCATTCCTGTGCATTGTCATTCCTGGACTGTGGTGACTCTAAAGTTGGTTGGTCTGCCTTTTGTTTGATTGTTGGAAGGGAGGATGAGCACCCTTGACTTGTGTGTCCCAACCTGCCGCATGATTTGCATAGTATATCATCTCCTTTATATAGAACAGGTTGTTTATGGTGACCAATCAGTAAATAGTTTTGCACTGTTGCTCCAATGGTAACTCCACATAAAGCCTAGCATATCTTCCTCTTAATGTGGTAGATGTGCGTGCATCTACTTTGAGTAGTTTGCCAATGCAGTTGCCAATTCTTGTAAGAATAATGCCATCGTAAAATTCTGTGGGGAGTTGTGGTAATCGTACCCATACTGCTGTATAGCTTTGATGAGCTTCTTTAGCTACAAAATTGGGCACCCATTTTTGTACTGAAAGAAAAAAACCATTGATGAACCAAGGTCCATTATGTAGTATCTTAGTCATACTTTCCTCCTTGGCCAACTTGATTGTGTAGTAATTTTCTCCAAAATTAATAAGTGGAAAATTCTCATTTATCTTCCACAGGTCTTGGATTTTCTTTTTGAAGTAGTGATGCACCAATCGTTTACCCATGAGTTTTATGATGATGGAGAATTTACAAGGGTTGTACATGCGTTTTCTATCCTCCTCAGATAATATTATTTGATTCAGTTTGTGGGACAATACCCCTGAATTATGGTCATCCAATTCTGTTGATTGGATGTCCTTTGGAAGTGTTGAGATTTCTTCCACTGATTGAGTAGTGATGTTGTTGAAGAATTCATCTTGAATCAGTGTATCCTTGTAGGATAGTGTATTAGGTGTTTGAGGATTGAATTTATCAGGGGGTTTGGGAGGAATGTGATTTTGAGTACCTGAACGTTGTTTTAGTAAGAGGTCACTCATTCTCTCTCTAGCATTAGCATCTCACGTAAGCTTTTTATGATTTTCGAAAAATCATATAATCCTTATTGGTTGGGTAGCAGAATTTTCTTTTAAAAATTAAAGAATTAATGAGTTAATGACAAACTAAGTTAATTCTTGGACTTTGTTTTAATGAATTTGGGTTTTTCTGAATTTCATCTGACCTAAGCTTTAATCACCATATTTTTTTCTAGTATAAACTATGGTCATATGAAATTATGAGTAGTTAATCAATAAATACCAAAATAATAAATTAAAATATCTTCTTTGTTTCTACCTCTAATTAGAAATTATATGCTTACAAATTGATAAAATATTAAAATATGTTCTTAATCTATGATTGAAGTCCATTTGGAATCATTTTGCATACTTTAAATTATGTTACTAAATATCAAGTTACCTTTGTCCATTTAATATATGCTTATTCCTTAGCACACTTGCTTTCTTATAAATATTTTTTTCATAAATTATCTAATGATATGATCAGAAAATATAAATAATAAATGGTTAAGAAGCGATGAACTTAAAAAAGTTGTGCCTAAAAACGTAACACAAATTTACTACTATATATAAGGGACCATGTAAAGAGTTTTGTAGTCCTTAATTACATTGTAACTATCTTGTTATCTTGTCAACCAAAAGGGTTTGCTCTTCCAAATATGTCCTTGTATTTTCTATTTATTACTTCATATACTAAAGTATGTTTTCAATAAATCAAGATACATTCAAACCTTTTTTTGGTAATACATAGCTCCTTAACCTTACTTTTTGGAGCTGAAGTATGTACCATAAGTTTGTTGCCCCAACTTTATTTCTATTTTGCTTAGGTTCCAATATTTAATTTGGTAAATATATTAAACTTTGAGCCCTTCAAAATGCTTTAAAAGTTGTGAATGATGGTATAATTATGCACAAAGATAAATCAAAAATGTTGATGACAATAACCTTGAAGAACTCATTTGATATTACCTAGGCTTTAATCACCATATTTCTTCTTGCATAAACTATGGTTATACGAAATTATGAGTAGTTAATCAATAAATACCAAAATAATCAATTAAAAGATCTTCTTTATTTCTACCTCTAATTAGGAATTATATGCTCACAATTTCATAGAATATTAAAAGATCTTCTTTAATCTATGATTATAGTCTATTTGGAATCATTTTACATACTTTATATTATGTTACTAAATATCAACTTACCTTTGTCCCATTGATATGTAACGACCCGACCGGTTGTTTTGAGCTCTAGCGCATCGGTCGGTGGTTTGAGGCCATGAGCATCTCTATTTAAGGTATTATGACTTGTATGCTTGGCCGGAACTGGAATTTCGGAAGTTCAGAGTTGATTTGGAAAGAGAATTCTCATTTGGAAGCTTAAACTTGGAAAAAACTGACTAAGGGTTGATTTTCAGTAAACAACCTCGGAGTTGGGATTTGAAGGTTTCAATAGGTTCGTATGATGGTTTTAGACGTGGAGTATGTCCGGATCGGGTTTTGGATAACTCGGGAGCGTTTCGGCGCCTATTGTGGAAGTTAGCATTTGGAAGAATTTCATAAATTTGGGTTGGAGGGAATTTCAATGTTATCGATGTCCATTTGAGATTCCGAGTCTGGAAATAGCGTCGTATGGTTATTCTGGTATTGGGAGCGCGTCTGGAAGCGGATTCAGAGGTCTGTAGGTCATTTTGGAGTCATTTGGCTAAAGTTAGTAATTTGAAGGTTTATGAGAAGTTTGATTGGAAGTGGACTTTTTTATAATGGGGTCGGATTCCGATTTCGGAAGTTGGGGTAGGTTTGTAATGTCGAATATGACTTGTGTGCAAAATTTGAGGTCAATCGGACGAGATTTAATAAGTTTCGGCATCGAAGGTTGAAGTTTGAAGTTCTAAAGTTCATTAAGCTTGAATTGGGTTGTGATTCGTGATTTCGATGTTATTTGATGGGATTTAGAGGCTCGACTAGGTTCGTAATGTGTTTTGGGACGTGTTGGATAAAGATGAGGTCCCGGGGGCCTCGGATGAATTCCGAGTGATTGACGGATCGAATTTGGAGTTAGAAGAAGAATTGAGTTGCTGCCTTCTGGTGTAACCGCACCTGCGAGACTTGGGCCGCAGGTGCGGGGCCGCAGAAGCGACCCTATGAGTCGCAGAGGCAGTTTTGGCTGGGAGTGCTAGGACCGCAGATGCGGTCATATCGCCCCAGAAGTGAGACTGCACCTGCGGCAGGAAAAGCACAGAAGCAAAAATGGGCTGCAAGCCCTGAACCGCAGAAGCGGTATTTTATCTGCACCGGCGGAACCGCAGAAGCGGTCAAGTGACCGCAGGTGCGAAGAATTGTTGAGCAGTGTGTTTATTTAAAAGACGGGTTTTGGCTCATTACATCTCAAATCTTTCATGGGAGCTGATTTTTGGAGCAACTTGGGAGTGTCATTTTCATCACCAAGCATGAGGTAAGTGGTTTATACTAGTTTTGAGTTAAATACATGATTATATATGGATTTGAACATGAAAATTAGTGGAGATTGTGGGGTTTTGGTAAAAACCCTAAAATTTGGTATTTTTGGATTTTCACCATGGATTTGGGCATGGAATTGGAAACAAATTATATATTTGAGTTTGTGGGGTTATGGGTAAAGTTTATCTTCAAAAAATTTCGGAATCCGGGCACGTGGGCCCGAGGGTGATTTATCAATTTTCCGGGTAGAGTTGGGAATTTGTTGTAAATTGAATTGTTATGAGTATTCGAGCGTATATTAATGGGTTTGCATAATTATTGGCTAGTTTCGGAGCGTTGAGCATCGGTTGAGTCGTCGGAAGGGCTTGGAAGTCGGTTATGGAACTCCGGAGCGAGGTAAGTCTCGTTTCTAACCTTGTAAGAGGGAATTAACCCCATAGGTGAACTAAATTATTATGTGCTTCTACTTGTGGGGGCTACGTATGTGCAAGGTGACGAGAGTCCGTACGTAGCTATTAGTTATGCCTATATCCGGGTAGTTTTAGGCTTACATCATGCCTTGTTGATATCGTTATTGATTTATATTTATTGCTTTCCTTGAGAGGTAGGTAGATTGAGTTTGCTTATTAAATGTTTTGAAAGGAGTGAAATTTGAAGAATATAAGGTTTAAAGGTTTCATTTGAACTTCATATTTTTGAAAAGAATAGAGAAATATTATAATCGCTTAAGAAATCTATGTGTTCCCGCGTCGCATGTATGTTTCGCGAGCGGGGTAATTTCCTTAAAAAGCCACAAGCTGAATTTACCTTATTTTGAAAAGAATCAAGACCTATGATTTAAATGTTAAATTTATATTTGATCACGTCGCAAGTATAATCCTCGAGCGGGGTGATTCCTTAAATTTATATTTGATCGCGACGCATGTATGATTCGCGAACGGGGTATTTCCTTCTACTACTCTTTGGGATCTGGCTGTTCGCCTCGGCATGATTTATGTACCACACTCTCATGGGAGCGGGCCGTTCGCCTCGGCAGGTTAATAGATACAACTATGTGTCACACCTCCTTTTTCACTACACCCGCGAGGGCGTAAAGGAGTTGTTCCACTTAAAGGACAATCGGAACGGGATTTGTTTATTAAGATTCAGAGTCGCCACTTGGGAGATTAATGGTGCCCCAAGTCACCGGTTGAATCCCGAACCGAGAAAATTATGACTCTGTTAACAGTCCGCGAACCAGAAATCCGGGCAAGGAATTCTGTTAACCTGAGAGAAGGTGTTAGGCATTCTCGAGTTCCGTGGTTCTAGCACGATCACTCAACTGTCATGTTTAGCTTATTTATTTGATTTTAATACATGTTTTAACCTATATGCTTTTAACTTTGAACCGCTTTTATTATTATTATTTTAAGGGAATTGCAACGTCGTGAAAACATGTCTCTAATCGCGTCACATAAATGCACCCGCGATTTTTGACACATTTCGACTTCGTTGAGATTTGGATTTGGGTCACATAAATGTGCACCCGTGTTTAAGAAGGTAAGGTTATTAAAAACGCGCCTAAAGTGACTAACATGTTATTATCTCTGGGGAAGGCCGTGAAATTCGCTAAACGGCCTATCCCGAAGTCTAGGTATTTTAGTATAACATTTATCGAGGGCCCCGCCATTTGTTTGTTTCATGTAGCGAGGCTCATCTCGTTTTATTTTTAAAAGGAAAACCTAAAAGCAACTATGATTCTCTATTTTTATTTGTCTCTAATAATAAAAGAAGAAACCCTAATTATTTATTATTGTTTAAAAGCTACTATATTTAGGGTCTATGAGCTCATATAAATTCAAATCTTCATCCAACTTGGGCCTTGGACACAGCCCGCTTAAAATCAAAAGTCCAAGTATGCCCAAGGCGGGCCGGCCATGAGCGACGCCAAGGTTCAAATGGACATATGACTGGGACAGGATCTGGGCTGTCTATGAAAGCACTGAGGCCCAAACTACCCTGAAATGGACCGTCTATCCCTGGTCGCTAACTAAGCCCAACCTCAGTTCAAATTAGACAAAGAATCTCTGAACCTTTCCAGTTATTCGAAGCATTAATAAATCAATGTTCAGGATTATTAACTTGCAATAATAAAGCCATCCCACATTTATTCAAATCCTCGCTTGACACATTTTATATGCTAATCTCAACGAAATTCAAAACAATTGTACGTCTAAACATGACTGATTTGGATTAAAATTCAGATTCATTGTTAATCTAATTACCCGCTACTGAGTTCCTGGACGTTACCAAAGGCACAACAAACTGAGAAAATTGAGTTTTAACAGAGTAATCATGAGTGAATCTACTGGTATCAACTACTGCAATACAAGGCTATTTGAAACGTTGTTTTTCAACTTGAAATCATGATTAACATAGATATCATATATCGATCCAGCAGTCAATTGTGAATTCAAACCAATTCTGATTTTGTTAATAAAACATGAAACTAGGACCAGCATTAGACCATACTAAAACTACGGG